TCAATGTTTTAGCTAATTGTCCTGAGTTTTTTTTTTTTTTTTGAGACAGAGTCTCGCTTTGTTGCCCAGGCTAGAGTGAGTGCCATGGCGTCAGCCTAGCTCACAGCAACCTCAAACTCCTGGGCTCAAGCAATCCTGCTGCCTCAGCCTCCCGAGTAGCTGGGACTACAGGCATGCGCCACCATGCCCGGCTAATTTTTTCTATATATATTAGTTGGCCAATTAATTTTTTTCTATTTATAGTAGAGACGGGGTCTCGCTCTTGCTCAGGGTAGTTTCGAACTCCTGACCTTGAGCAATCCACCCACCTCGGCCTCCCAGAGTGCTAGGATTACAGGTGTGAGCCACTGCGCCTGGCCTGTCCTGAGTTATTTTTTAACATTTAATCTGAAGACTCAATCCCATATGACCTAACCTCTGTATTGGATCAGGTTTCCCTTGCCTTATCTGGTACACTCAGCTTAATACTCACTACATATTGGCACTTATTTTTATTTTATTAAGGAAAATAGATCCTATCGCATAAGATTATTTTGATGATGAAATGAAATGACACATGTAGAATAAAGCCTGAGGTGGTGAGCACTCAATAAATGTTATTGCTATTAATTCAGCAAATATTCTATTTGGTGCATGCTATGCCAGACATAACTCTCCATTCAGAGGATACTAAGGTCTATGTATTTTATCAGGAAGGGTAAAATTCCAATCAGAAGATGGAAGCCACACCAGTTATTTGAGCAGAGAAAATCTAATATCAAGAATTTTTATGGGCCGGATGCAGTGGCTCATGCCTGTAATCCTAGCACTCTGGGAGGCCGAGGCAGGCGGATTGCTCAAGGTCAGGAGTTCAAAACCAGCCTGAGCAAGAGCGAGACCCTCTCTCTACTATAAATAGAAAAAAATTAATTGGCCAACTAATATATATAGAAAAAATTAGCCGGGCATGGTGGCATATGCCTGTAGTCACAGCTACTCGGGAGGCTGAGGCAGCAGGATTGCTTGAGCCCAGTAGATTGAGGTTGCTGTGAGCTAGGCTGACGCCAGGGCACTCACTCTAGCCTGGGCAACAAAGCAAGACTCTGTTTCAAAAAAAAAAAAAGAATTTTTATATAGATGTAAAATTATTAACTGTTTAAACTGAAAAGGACTTAAGGTATCTTGGAGGCAGCAATTACAGGAAGCAACTACCACTCCTTGGGCTGGGAGAACAAAAAGAAGGTATTTAAATTATTAAAACTCCTGCTTAGCTGAGGGGTCCTGCAGAGCTGAAATTCAGATCTCTGAGGAGAGGGTGCCACTCAGCCATTGCTGGAGTTTCTGAAGGAAGCACCATAAGGCTGGTCTGCAAGTGTTGGGGAAACTGCAAACTGGATTCAGCAACCTCGGCAAGAAGGAGCTGCTGTGGCCCAGGTGAGGAAGGGTTGCTGGGGGCGCTCACAAGTTCAGGCACCCACTTCCTCCTTCTTCCCTCAGTCTCACAGTCTCCCTCTCAACCACACATCGACAGGCAGCCTGCTTTTGGCAACGCAGAAATACGGTTTGCAGAGTCCCTTCCCCAGCTTCACAATGCAGAGCATAGAAGGGTGGGTTGAAGCAATAGGCAGTAGCTTAATAACTGGCGCAGTCCATTGTTTTGGCCACTCAACAGCCATGCGCACGTATTTTCACACCTTCCTTCACATACACAGACTTCCATAAGACAATGAAAACCACTCTTTCTGCCTAGCAAGATACAACTATCCTTCATACAAAGATATCCAATCCTCTCCCTAAAATGAGGAGATGCAAAGTTGCCATAATCATTATGTCCATCTTTGGGAGATATTCATATCCATTTTAAGATATGTTAATTACTCCTCAAATTTGGTCATAATCTCAACTGAATATTCAGTTGAACTTGTCTTTATCTTTCTATAAGCACTTTAGTGCATTCAAAAGAATCCATCCCACACCATAGTCCTTGCAGTCATCAGTACTGCCATCATGACCAGGTGAAACAGCCTCTTTGTCCCCCAAGGCACTTTGAATAGGCACTTGATCACAATCAACCACAGGGATAATTTGATTAATCATAAAGTCACTGCATGCCATGGATTGCTAGAATCTCATTTTCCATCAGCTAGGAGCTCACTGATGAGTTCAAACCCAAGAACACAACCAGAGCGATGTCAAAAAATACCCATCTTTGAGGAACTGTTTCCTGGGACCACTTCCTGGTACTGATTTCTCAATCAGCCATCTTCCAGTGAGGAGATATAACCCCATCAGTCTTTTAAACAAAGAGAATTCAATATAAATAATTGCTAACTAGGTATAAAGTTGTTAATGAGGTAACTAAAAGGGTAATTAAAAAACGCAAACATATTGTGGAGGTAGCGATTTCAGAAGGCAGCTACCACCCCTAGGGTTGAGGGAACTAGGAGAAGAGATTTGAATTATTACAATTTATGAGGTTAGAAGACAGGCATCTGCAGAGTTGAAACCCCGACCTCTGAGCATGGATCACTGCTTAGATGATGCTGGCCCTTGAGGACAGGGCACTGGTATCTCTGAGAAGAGCACTTTGGGGTTCGCTCAGCGAGTAGTGGGAAACTGTAAACTGATCTCAGCTGCTGCTACAGGAAGGCACTGCTGTTGCCAGGGAGTAGAATAGAAACATTGCTAGAGTGATGCTCACAAAAACGCACCAGAGAGCACACAGGAAGTTCAGAAGGGAACCAGCAGAAGAAAGCCCATCCTTGCATGTGCTCTCCCTGTGTATTAATCATGTCTGCCCCTCCCAGGGCTAGCAATTTCCTTAGAGGTAGTAAACAACTCACTCTAGAGCATACCTTTCTTATGCAAACCAACCAATCCAGGACTAAAACCCCACTACCAACTCTACTGGGCTCTCCCACACTGAGGTCACTATCCACCTGCCCTAATCACCCCAGGGCCAGGTACCACCAGGTACCCAGGGCCAGGTACCAGACACCTAAGGACAGCCTCAAGGCCCACTGAAATTACTCAAACTGGCCAATTCTAAGCCTTCTTACCCTGCCTTGCCTATTCCTTCCAATGACAACCACAATTACAACTCTTACCCACATTTCCCCTTGTTCCCTCTGCCTTCCTGACTGACCCCGTGCTTCTCTGTGCCCCTGCCCCTGCCCCCATGGCACGGCAACCTGCTGTTTTAGGGAACTGTGACATTCTCTCCCGTGTCTGCGTGTCTTATCATACCTGATGAAAACAAAACAAATCCCCAGTGCCCTTAAAACACCCTGTAGCGTCCCCTGTTCACAGAGCCTAGCTGGGAGCCAGCCAGCAAGGCAGGAATGTGGTCTTCAGCATCCCAGCCGCAGCCTCACAAAGCAGGTTATGGAAGGGAGGGTTTGGAGGAGAGAGAGAACAGCTTGATCATGGCACAGTGTGTAGGTCTGGGACAGGTAAGGTCTTCACTACTAAGGAGAGTATAGCCCAGGGCAAAATTGTTCATGACTAGAGTGTAATAGAGTAGGAAACTGCACATTTGCGGCATGCCTCACCAGAGACCACCACACAGAGAAGCCCAGCAGAGGGGGCTGGGGTGCTGGCTCTGGAGGAGGGCTTGCCATGCAAAATGGGGCTGTGACAGCTACACTGAGGTGACGTCCAGCAGATCCAAAGGAGGTGAGGGAGCCAGCTACATGGACAGCTGGGAGCACGTGGCTTTGTGGGAGCAGAGCATTTTGCAGACAGGAGAGTCAGGGGACAGGCCCAGAGACAGGGCCACAGCTGCCTTCAAGGAATGGCAATGAGGCCAAGTGATGTCAATTTTAGGTGTCAACTTGGCTGGCTATGGTGCCCAGTTGTTTGGACAAACAACAGTCTAGCTGTTGCTATGAAGGCAACTTTTTGGATTTGATCAACATTTAATTAGGAGACTGTGAGTGAAGCAGATTACCTTCTAGAATGTGGGTGGGTCAATCAGTTGAAGACCTTAAGAATAAAGAATAAGCCGGGTGTCCTGAGGAAGAAGGATTTCTGCCTCCAGACTGCAACACTGAGACTCTGCTTGAGTTCCAGCCTTCACACTTGAGACTGCAACGTCAACTCTTCCTGAATTTCCATCTTGCCAACCTGCTCTGCAGATTTCAGACTTGCCTGTCCCTACATTGCCTGAGCCAATTCCTTAAAATAAACCTCTCTCTCCATGTATATAATATACATCCTATTGATTCTGTTTCTCTGGAGTAATCTGACTAATACAGGCCAGGGTGGCAGAAGGGAGGGAAGCACGGGGCCAGGACTGTGAACCGGGGCCGGAGGTGAGCACGGGGCGGGCAGCTGATGGTGCAGCCTTGCAGCCATGGGGAGGGCGTTGGCCTTTCCATGGCTGGGAATCATTGGAGGGTTCTGAGCAAAAGGGTCATTTCATGTGACTTATGTGTTCCAAGCTTCCTCTGGCTGCTGTGAGGAGAGGGGACTGCAGGGGCAGTTTTGATGGTAGGGAGCCCAGTGAGGAGCCACTGCAGTGTGGGAGACACAGGGAGGGTTTGGACTGGGGGGCAGCGGTGCTGGTGGTGAGATGTGGCCAGATGCCTCTGAGACACTGGCTGTTGGATATCCAAGTCTGGACTTCAGAGGCCTGGGCCAGACACACAGATTTTGCAGCTTTGTGCCAGGCCGCCCTTATGACCATACAGGGAGGCCAGCAGATGACAGGACTCTGTCCTGTGCTCCTCTTTGAGCACTTCAAGTGCTGGCCTTGTTCCACGAGCCTGCTGCAGCCTCTTTTCCATCCCACTGCATCCCCTTATGTGGGGCTTCCCAGCAGGAGCACCGTCCCGGGTACCCAAGGCGGCGTGGGGACACCCATTCCTCCTCCCCACTGTTCAGTGCACAGGGTCAGGCACTGAAGGCCACGGTTATTCATAGACAACAGGAACAAGCCTGGAAATCCCCTGACCTGGTCAATCATTAATCCAGTCCTGAGTGAGGGACACTCAGACAGGCTTCATTTCTCCCCAGAGCTGGTGACAGTCCAGGGAAGGCATATGAGTTTCCTCTCCAGGGAGGCCTGAATTGGTTAAGTTTGGCTCTGGGTGGGTGGGGGTGTCTTAACAAGGGGCTGGGGACAAGAATCCATCAGCAATGTCTTCAATAGGACAGGAGGAAAGAGAAGCTGCTCATCAAATATCTGTGACATGGGCTGAACATCAAGCTTGTCTTTCCCTCAAGGCAGCCCAGGTAGGTAATCTGAGGGTTGCAGTGGAGGTTGTAGAGATAGTTGAAGCAGTAATACCAGTAGAAAGAAGCTTGTGTGGTGTCCGTTCATTTATTCAGCAAATAATTGTGCATGCCTACTATGTGCCAATCGTTGTGCTAAATGCAAGCATAAAAAGGTGGGAACAAGTAGGCTCTACAAACTTGCTGTGTTAGTTTGCTCAGGCTGCCATGGCAAAACACCACAGATGGGGTGGCTTAAACAACAGTCTTTTACTCTCTCAGAGTTCTGGAGACTGGGAAGTCGAAGATCAAGGCACTGCCTATACCTGGTGAGGACTCTCTTCATGGCTTGCAGACAGTCACCTTCTGCCCGTGTTCTCATGTTAGGCTGGGACAAGGAGGAAGGGGAACAGATGGTTTGTCTAGGGGTTTTCATTGAGAAATGGATGGCACTAGGAGATGCTTTGTCTATAGTAAGAGGAATATATTCACCAGAGGGGGCTTCTAAGAAGGAACAGATGACATGTCTAGGGGGCTTTCAAGGACTGAATAGATATTTGGTCTACAATAATGGTCTCCAAGGACTGACCAATCAGAAAGAGGTAGAAAGGTCAAAAAGTAGAGATACGAACAAGGCCACAAAAGAGGCTCTTTGGAGCATGCGTATAAGTAAGGTGACAGTATTCCCAAGTGACCTACCCTCATTAAGATAGTAAAAATCACACCCACTAGCGCCATGACAATTTACAATTACCATGACAACCCTCGGCAATTGCATTATGAGGTTAAAAGTGGGGAGGGTTCCTAGTTCCAGGAATTCTCTACCCCTTTCCAAGAAAAACCATGAATATTCCATGCCCCACTTAACATAAAATTAGGGAATCACCATAAAAAAGAAAATATTGTTAACCTCAGGTTGACCCATTCCTCCTCTGGAATGTACTATGCTTTAATAACCTTTGGCACTTTGCTTGCTTGTATCTGCTTGGTCTGCTCATTTGCTCCATCAACTCGGTACTAGTAACCATCCTTTGGCACTGGGGACCAGAAACCAGGTGACACAGACCTGACATCTGGTCCTCACACCTGACACTCACATGACCTTTCTTCTGTGCAAGTAGAGAGAACCTCTTTTTATAAGGCCACAGTTCTATCAAATTATGGCCCCAATGTTATGACCTCGTTTAATTTTGATTACTTTCTAAACTCCCTTCCTTCAAATGCTGTCACATTGGGGATTTGGGCTTCAACATATAAGTTTTGGAGGACACAATTCAGTCTATACTACTTGCCCTCATGATTATAGTCTCATAAAGACTGAAAATGTGGCAATATGAACAAGTAAACAAAAATATAATTATAATGCCTATTAAAAAATAAACAGTTTGCTGTGGTGGAGAGTAACAGAAAGGAGAACATAATTTAACATGGTGGTTAGTACTCTCTGAGGATGTGATATTTAGATTTGGACTAGAAGGATAAGAAATAGTCATCCACACACCAAACAGGGAGAAGGCTGTTCTGGGAAAGAAATTCACAAGGGCAAAGGCCCTGAGGTAGAAATTAGTAAGTTTGAGGAACTGGAAGAACAGTTTTTTTTTTCTTTTGAAAGGTCACTGTGGTTTCTGTGTGGGGAATAGACTATATAGAAATAAGAGTGGGGCCGGGCGCTGTGGCTCACGCCTGTAATCCTAGCTCTTGGGAGGCCGAGGCGGGCGGATTGCTCAAGGTCAGGAGTTCAAAACCAGCCTGAGCAAGAGCGAGACCCCGTCTCTACTATAAATAGAAAGAAATTAATTGGCCAACTGATATATATATAAAAAATTAGCCGGGCATGGTGGCGCATGCCTGTAGTCCCAGCTACTCGGGAGGCTGAGGCAGAAGGATCGCTTGAGCCCAGGAGTTTGAGGTTGCTGTGAGCTAGGCTGACGCCACGGCACTCACTCTAGCCTGGGCAACAAAGTGAGACTCTGTCTCAAAAAAAAAAAAAAAAAAAATAAAGAAATAAGAGTGGAAGAAGGCAGACCAATTACAAGGCTATTATAGTTATCTAGGCAGGAAATGTTGGCGATTGGAACTAGAGAAGTGAAAGCAGAGATGGAGAGAAGTTGATTGATTCTATATGTATTATTTGAAGCCAGACTTAATAGGATTTTCTAATTGATTAGAGTTTGGGGGTGTAAGAAGGAGGAGAAAAGAACAAGTCCTCATCAGGTACAGTGGCTTACACCTGTAGTCCCAGCTACTCAGGAGGCTGAGGCAGGAAGATTGAGCCTAGGAGTTCAAGGTTGCAGTAAGCTATGATCATGCCACTGTATGCTAGCCTGAGCAACAGAACAAGACCCTGAAAAAAGAGAGAGAGAGAGAAAAAGGAAGAAAGGAAAGAGAGAGCAAGAAGGAAAAGAAGGAAGGAAGGAAGGGAGGGAGGGGGAGGGAGGGAGGGAAGGCAGGAAGGCAGGAAGGCAGGAAGGAAGGAAGGAAAGAGGGAAGGAGGGAAGGAAGAAAGGAGAGAAAAAGAGAGAAGAAAGAAAAACAAAGAAACAAAGAAAGGAGAGAGAGAAAGAGAAAAAGAAAGAAGGAAAGAAGAAAGAAGAAAAGAGAAAAAGAAAAGAAAGAAAGAAAGAAAGAAAGAAAGAAAGAAAGAAAGAAAGAAAGAAAGAAAGAAAGAAAGAAAGAAAGAAAGAAAGAAAGGAGAGGGAGGGAGGGAAGGCAGGAAGGCAGGAAGGCAGGAAGGCAGGAAGGCAGGAAGGAAGGAAGGAAGGAGGGAAGGAAGGAAGGAAGGAAGGAAAGATTCTCAGGTGACTGGCCTAAGCCACTGGATGGATAGTGGTCACATGTATTGACATCTGGGTTCCTGTGGGAGGCACAGGTCTGGAGGATTTAATCAAGGCCTCTAAGTGGGACTTGTTTGACTGGAGATGCCTATTAGTTATCCAACTGAAGAGCCTGCAAAAGGGGCCACAGTATGTCACAGTAAAGATGTGTTATAGAAGCCAAATGAGGAAAGTGTTTCAAGGAAGACTTTGTTCAACTGTATTGAATGCTGTTGAGAGGATTACGGGGAATAAGAATCTAAAATTGCTGTTGGATTTGGTAAAGCAGAGGACATTTGTAATCTGGACAACCATTTTAGTGGAGTGTTGAGGACAGAAGCCAAACTAGAGTAGGGATGAAAGGTGACTGGGAAGTGAGAAAATTGAGACAGCAAATGTGAAGACTCATTCTAGAAGTTTGGCTGCCAGGGAAGCAGGGAAGTGGATTGACAGCTCAGTGGGGATATAGAGCATAGGGTAATGATTTTGATTTGTTTTGTTTTTCAAGATGAGAGATTTCAGAGCCTGTGTATATGCTGATAGGAATAATTTGGTAGAAAAAGATGAATGATGCAGGAGAAATAACATAACAGGAACGAAGCCTTTGAGCAGGGAGAACTTGAGATCAAGGGCAGAAGGAATGGTGTTTAGGCAGGAGACGAGCACTTCTCCATTTTCATTGGGTAGGAGGTATCCATCCAAATGTGAGTGGCTTGTAAATTTGGTGATAGAAAGACAACGGAGTTCCTCTTTTTTTCTCCCCCTAACAAAATGTCAATAAAATGACCTCGAGTTGTGACTGTCAAAAAAAGCATGTGAGACAGTCAATATTCCATCAAACACATTTTAAATAATAGGAGCTACAAGACCAACTCTCGGTATTGTGCCTATAAGCCCTCTCTATTCAGCTGATAGATGGAGAAGGGAAAGCATCGTGTATGGGAGGTTTGTTTGGGCCGGGCCTAGAAGAGATAAACACTTCTTGCACTCACTTTCCCTGGGCCAGATCTCAGTTGCACTCCATACCTCGACAGCCCCAGCTGGGGTCCCACCCCCAGACAGCATCAAGCACCTGATGGTGTGTGTGAAGATGTCCCCATATGATTTTAGCCCTCAGCTGTCAAATTTTCCCAGCTGAGGCCCCACATTGAGGAGCAGAGATAAACCACCTCTGCCATGTCTTGGATGAAACCCTACAATTGCACATGGTCTCATCCCTATAATAAATTCCTTTTTCTATGTTATTCATAGTGTTTGAGCCGACTTTGACTGATACAAGCCATGAGCTTTAATAGAACATAATTGCCATTCTGAATGGTTTAAGTGCCACACGAGTTGAGCACTTTCAACTTTTAATAATGTTTGGGGCACCTTTTGATCCCACATTTACTTCATTAGCAATTATAATCTACTCATATTTTTTGTTGAAAAAAATAAATCTGTTTTTTATTCTAGAAATACAAGTTATTTGGTTTATTTTGAATGGATTCTCTATAGCATCAAAGCCTTTTCCAGGCTGTTGAGTTTTACATGGTATTAGTATTAAATTTTCTTATTGACATCTTTAAAATTTTATCTCCCAGATTCAGAAGATTTTTAGTTCTGATAGTTAAAAGGAACACTTGTCCAAACACTATTGTATCTTTATCCCGGGTGTTCATCTTTAACATTTTTCTGTAAGTTCTGGATCTCTTAAGAAAACAGAACCCTGCAAGTATTGTAATGCACCAATAATAAAACCAAAGTAAAGGCTCAACCATTTAGAAGCACTAACAAGTGAGTAATTTGAGGATAAAGATAAACACGATTCCTCTAAATCACAGACTGCCTCACAAAGAATGAGCAATGCCGTGCGTGCTGTCTGCTGCCACGTGGGAGAGCAGATCCTGCTGCTAATGTTTCTGAGACGTTGCTATTTTAGGAGGCCTATTTATCAATGTTCATGAATGTGTCCTAATGAGTTTACATTGTAACTTATATTTATAAAGAATTAACTTTATTGTTTATTGCAGTTACTATTTATCATTTGCCAACTAGTACCTTAGCATCTCAATGTTTTATTAATTGTCACAGTCTTCATGGTGCATAGCTGCTTAGCAGCCCTGTTTAGCACAATGCCTGCCACTGTGGGGTGGTGGAGGGTGGGCAGAACTGGGTTGTTTAGATGGAGTTCTCTCCCCACCAGCAAATTCTCCTTTCAGAATTCAA